TAAGTGTACTCCAAGATTCAGATTTGTCTGTCAAGTTGCTGGGTTTTTTTTTTTTTTTTTAGGTAAACAGTACAGAGAGTAAGGGATTAGTAATTGCACATTTGGCACACAAACAATGTCTATCATATTGTTTAAGAATTCTGACCCACTTCTTACATTGATGCTCTAGTAATCACTAAGTTTTTACGAGGGCTGCATAATATATCATTATTGAAATATTGGTGTGTGTAAAATTAATGAAGGAAGCTTAGAAAGCAGAAACTGAGGGCTGATATGTTTCGAGGGTTGTGAAAACACATTCTGCAAGTCAATAAGATATTCAGCCAGTCTCACACAAAAAGGCTGTAACCCGACTTAAAACGTTGTTGAGTTGTCTGACTCATAACAAAGATGTCATTTGTTAGAGTTGTAAATATTTATAGCACACAGTGATTTTTTTTTTATTCAGAAGTATAAAAATCAGTATATTACATTTAAAATTCACCTTAAAAGCCTTGAGTAAAGTGGACTCCCTCCTATTTGCATGTTAGTTTTTATGCATCCACATATTTGCCGTCTCTTTTGTAGAGCATATGAGCTATTTAAAAAAATAAAAAATCAACTTGGAAAGCTGAAACACTGAGATGCAATGCTACCTGACGCTGGCGTTTCCAAAGCAACCAAACCAGGATTGTGATTTGTTTTCCCCGACACTGATTGGCTGAAGTGGAGATAAGGAAGACTGTGGATTCCAGCGTCTTTGGTAAATGCTGATGCACTGTGTGTAATAATGCGTATTAAGATAAATATTGCTGTGTGAACCATTAAAATAGGCGGTTAAAATCATTTTTAGAGAGGATCTCAAGTGTTTCTGGATTTCAGCGTTTAGTGGGTGGTCAACCCTGTGAAAACTGGGGGTCCTCTCTGTTGAATCTATCATCAATATGTCTGTCATTTGATTGTAAAGCTAATCCTAAAGCCATAATCCTACAGCTATGCAATAATAAAGCTGTGATGAAGATGAACTGAAGAAGAGAAGCCTCATTTTCCTGAGACCAAGTTGATCTGAGAAAATATTTCCTTTGTTGTTTGTTGTTATTCTGTCGTCTCACTAATTTCCTGTCCTTTAAAGCGTCTAAAACTTTGGCACCAGGTCTCAGCATCTAGTTACTTTTGAGCTTAGAAATGGCTCCTCAAAGAGCTGGAAGCGCTCTCGTTTGCTTTCTCCTCCTCTGATCCGGTCTGTTGTTTTTGTCCAATCTTGTAATCTTGAGGAGAAAAAAAACAAAAGAGAGAGACTGGCGTCGTCATTATAAAGACATTATGTTTAATCTATTAAAACCATCAATCAGCCCTGGAACTCCCACAGAAGCATCATGAGAAGTCAAGTCCCTGGAAAGAAGCGTTTGTTTTCAGAGTGCAAACCTGAAGCAGCAGAAGCCCAGCAGATAATCTGATCTCTCTCTCTGGCCGCCCCGCCGCGCGTTTCCCCCTTCCTGTCCGTTCACGCGACATCTCCCTCTTATCCGCGAGATTCAGGGGGAATAATCAAACCAACATGCGTCGGATTGTTTGGCACCGTAGGACGATGTTGCATTAGTCACTGATGTGCAGATGTAGAGAGAGAGGGGGAAGATGGAGGATAGGTCGGGTGCGGATGTGTGATTGGATGCTGCCACTGACACGGTGTCATTACGGCTTTGTGTTAGATTCCCAGTGTAGCGAAAAGTTTAGTCCATGATGTGATGCGATTTGGCAGAGCTGCAGCCCGAAAGGGGAAGAAGCTGATTCATGCGAACTAGCATGTTGGGGAAGAAACAGTGGATGTCAGCATCTTTTGTCTCCATGTTTAAAAAAAATAAAAACAAGGACTGGAGAGGACATAATGATGCAAGTCATAAACTGTAACTGATGGATGTTTTTGGATCAGAACCCTCTGAATCTCTCTGGTTTCACTGAGTCTCCTGTTGTTCTGATGGGAAACGTGATGAGGGCGTGTTCAACATGTGGAAGCGCCACATTAGTCTCCCCCATCCAAGATGGCCAGATTTTAATAACAATGGGTTTTTTTCCTTCTCGGCATGAATTGAAAACATAAAAGTGTCTTTAAAAATTGTCTGTGATTTACTTGAATCTAAATATCTTTGAACAATGTTGTTTGTTTTTTATCTAAAATAAAATCTTAAGGTCAGAACCGTCTTTTTCTGACTCGTTGACATTTTACTAGGGCAGTAACGTCCTTCAGAGGTATCGGTAAATAAATGCCAACTACAATAAAAGTGAAGTGTAAACTTTTCTATCTTACAAGACAGATTACAGAACTTTTTAAAGTGTGCCACACGATAAGGCATTCATTTTCTTCTACAAGATATATTCAAAATAAGTGATGTAGAGTTAAACCCTCTGACGTTGTTTTGTGCTACATCATTTAGTTATGTTTTTATTAATTTTAAAAAAAGCCTTTCTCTGTTCATTTTTGTATTATGTATATCAGGGTTAGAGACGACATGACTGTGTGTGTGCCCTGCAGTTAAACTTAATTTGACTGCGATTTAAAAATAAAGAAAATTAGGAGAGCGGTGACATTAGCATGTTGTGTTAGCATTTAGCATGATTGGGATAATTAGCTAAAAACATTGTTCTCTGTAAACCTCACTTATATCCTCACATACGATGTGAGATTTTCTTAAGACTGACATTTCCTAATTCACCATGTTCTATGAAAGATAAAATTGGATTCCTTAAAGTGATAAAAACAGGGAAACGTCGCTGTATCAGCTTCTGGTTATCTGTTAGCGTTTAACTTTGTGTTAAAAAAGCTACATCGCACCTGTTGAAAATGCAGTTCTTCTGTGTGGAGTTAGCATCTTCACTGGGCGCCTTCTGCTTCTGGCATCTTCTCACTGTCCAAACAAAAAAGAAAACCCATCAAACAAACCAAGCAAATTTGAATTGTATTTTTCTGTATTTTTATATAAATATCATCTTGGTGATGCATGCAAGCTGGCTCACAGTCTGCTCCATTCACACGTCTCTGCTTCTTCCTTTTGACACCATCTCACATGCAGGCTGTTCCCCAGCTGTTTTATGTGATCCAAAGCCAGCGTTTTCTCTTTCTTTCCCTCTCTTTCTTCTTGTTTAATCCACACTGACAGACAGTCTCTCCCTCTTCCTCCCCCTCAGCCTCTCCTCGGTGGGTTGGCATGGCCCAGTGATGAACGGAGCGGTGCTGCCCGGTAGCCCGGAGCTTTCCTCCTCGTGTCCGCTGCCCGACTGGAGAGAGTTCTGCGAGCTCCACGCCAGAGCCTCGGCCGCCGACTTCGCCGACAAGTTCCAGCGCTTCTTGTCGGAGAACCCGTGCTACGACTCGCCCGGTGCCGATGCCAGCTTCTCGCAGCACTTCGCCAACCACTTTCTTGAGTGCTTCTCTGCGGCGCTGACCCAGGCCAAGGAGAAACAGGCGTCCTCTCCGGGGGAGGACGGCTGCAACGCGGCGACCAAGTACAGCATCGTCCCTTTCCTGGGAATCCAAGGTTGCCCGCTGACCTACGGTCACGACCTCTACCAGCGGCGCAAAGACACTGGGGCTTCGAGTGAGTCTCTGGACAGCATGGACAGCGGAGGCGGAGGGATGGACGGGGGAGGAGGTGGCGGCAGCACCTCCTCCAGGGGTCCGCAGAACCACAAGATGTCCGTCCTGGGACAGTCCCGCAGCTCAGAGGATGTGTCCGTCAGCCACCCGAAGGCTCGCTTCAAGAAGGGCTTCTCCCTGAGGAACATGAGTCTGTGTGTCGTGGACGGGGTGAAGGAGATGTGGCACAGACGGGCCTCCCCGGAGCCTGACGCCCCCTCGGGAGCCAGGAGGGCCAACGGGGCGGGAGGCGAGGCGGGAGGGGGCGAGAAGTGGTCCCAGAAGCTCAGGCTCCCCCGGAGTTCCCAGGGCCACAAGGCCGAGCTGCTGGAGATCCAGAGGGAGGGGGCGCTGAGGTACATGGTGGCCGACGACACGAACTGTATGGGCGCCGCGCAGTGGCAGAAGTGCCGCCTGCTGCTCAGGAAGACCAAGCGGGAGGACGGAGGGGAGAAGTTCCTGCTGGAGTTCTACGTCCCTCCAAAGGTATGCAAACATTGTAGGCACACATTTCTAGTCAGTTTTTTTGGTGCAGGTATATTATCTCAGAAAAGGTGAGAACAATAAACCAGAAAAAAGCAACTGCAAGCCAACTTCATCAAGAAAGAAATGATCGATTCTGAGTAGCTACAGCTATGTGAGTGAGAGTCCGAGGCAAGCAAAATAAAAAAGAAGGAGGAAGTATGAACATGATTATTTAAACTTTGGGTTTCCATAGTTCCAGTTTTGTCTGTAAAGAGAGCTTCTTAAAGGGGGCTAACGGGTCTGTGGTCACAGCAGAAACTACCCACTGGTACTTTTAACACTGAATGTGCTAAAGTAAAGTAAAAATAACAGCAACTGAATCATTATATCATGAGGTGCTAGCTACAGCAGCACCTAGCACCAATGAAACATGCATGAAAATAGCATGAAGCAACTGCAAAAGGTTTACAGAAATAATAGTGATAATATAGTTGAGTTGAGGTGCAGGTTTGCATTTTGTGTCTCACCTACTTTGAAAAGTTCTGGTCTAAAACATTTAATGTCATCATATTTGGGTTTGATTTCTCTCAGAAGTCCTAAGAGACGAAGCTGCAGCAGCCAGTGCAGTCTCTCCTCACTGGTCTCTCTTTCATTGACCTTGATAAACACTAAAATCCATTTCAGATGATAAATCCACTGTAATCCGCTAGTTTTCTCCTCCTGGATCACTTTCTCTGCTCACATCACACAAGTCGATCCATGGAGAACACAGTCTGTGTGCGCCTACCCTGCATGTTCTGCAATTACAGAACTGAAAGAGCGTGGTTTGCAACTTGTGGCGTTACCCTCTAGCAAGATGTAAAAGGTTGAATTTATATCCATTTAAATTTATTCAGTGCATAAGATAAAACCTAAGTTGTTGTGCTTAATCTGTAACATGTTATCTTCAGCAGATTCTCAGATTAGACACAGTCTTGATGACCAGGTGTTGTTGCCTCTATACTCTGTTCACCAACATCTTCTGCAGCCCCTCTTCCCTTTGCGATGAACCATAACACATAAAAGACACACGTAGATTATCTCACCAAATGATGATCTGACTGTGAGGAAAAACCAAGATTCAATCCTTTTCTTATTTTAGAAGGTTTTTACACATTTTGTTTTACAGGGATGCCATACAGACAGCTTTAATATCATAAAATACCATTTATCTCCGTTTCGTGCTTTTTTACTATCTTCAGGTTAAAGTGCCCTGCAAAAACGCAAAATTTGACCAAGTTAGTTTTGACTTATTTCAAGTGTACTAACCTAGACATAACTTTTCATCAAGCTATAGGATCTTGTTTTAAGTCAATATTCCTTAATATTGATTTAAAAAAAGCAGTAGTCATACATGAAATAATCTGCCAGTGGAACAAGACATTTCAACTCAGAACACAGGAAATATGTCCTGTTTCACTGGCAGATTATTTTATGTATAACTAGTGATTTTTTTCCCACCAATATTAAGGAATTATTGACTTAAATCAAACTACTATTTCTTGCTGAAAATTTACTTGTAAGTTAGTTTTGTCTTATTTCAAGTGTACCAAGATATTTAGGCTAGAAGCTCGACCAAAAACACTTGGTAAGATTTGTGTTTTTGCCTGCCTGCCTGCCTGCCTGCGCCGAGCAGCGCCGGTCACAACCACACGCTCCTGAGCATGCGTGCAGCTTTAGCATTTGGCTGCATGGGATTTCCACATCGTTGCCCGTGACCTTAAGTAGGCCAGGAGGCTGTGCGGCTGAGTGTGCGTAAATCTGCTGCTGTCCTTTGATCGTGGCTGGGGGGGGGGGCGTGGAAGCGGCTGCTTGCGGGCAGCAGAGCGGTGAGGACAGGTGGAAAGGGTGCGGGGGGCTGCAGAGACATCCAGTGGCTGCCTCATTGATTTTTATAAGGCAAGAGGATCTCAGAGTTTCTTTTTCATGTTCACATTGATTGCTTCCCCATCTTGGGCGAGCTAGGTGCTGGGACAAGCAGGAAAAAGGAACCAAAAATAGTCTAGAGGGTGACCTCACTCTCTGCCCAGAGAGGAACAGATAAAGAGGAATAATTTAGCTTCACGGTGTTTAATCTACCGCCTGGACGGCAGGTTCATTAAACACATACGTCTTTTATCACCACCGTCCCATTCGCGTGTTACAAATCACAACAGCGGTCGCTCCGAAGTGCTGGAGAGATAAACAGACTCATAAAAGTCTCACTCGCGCCGACTCCCCGGTTCCTGCCAGGGTCATCAATCTGCCGGCTCCCTCTGCAACGCAGCGGCGACGGCCCGCGTTGTGACGCCGCACAGTCTCGCTCCGCTTCACAGCACACGTAGGAACACGACAGACGGGTAGAGGATCGAACTGCTAATGACGCTGGCTGATTAGACTGCTGTATCCGGGAATGTTAACAGAAAGTTAGGTGGAAGGAAAAACTGTTGGAAAGTTGGATGAACGCAGTTGTGAAGGAGAAGTCATTCAAAAGTAACACATTTTTACTAAAATATAAATAATTATAATAAAATAAGTCAGTCTTAAACATGCTTTAAAGTTTGAGATCATGTGTGAGTTTTGTAAAAGTTCTTAAAATTAAAACTTAAAGCTACCTAAATGTGTTATTTGCATGTTACACTTTTCCATTCATGGCATCTTGATGTTTTTAGCGCGACACTTTCTTCTCTTATTTGATCAGCTCTGGCATAGACAAATAAAAAGTCATAAAATAAACTAATATTTTATCAGAACATCATAATTTTTCCCTGAAGAATGTCGAAAAACATAAAAAAAAAAAATTCGGACACCTCCATTGCAAAACCTGTTGCAACTGTAAAACTTCCAGTAAAATGATCAGTTTTCTTCATGTGAGTTTCATAGTTCAGGAAATTACTACGATAGCTGCTCCCACTTACATGCAGTCAGAATAGCAATTAAAAAAACCAAATGAAGACACTTCATGCCCTAGGATAGGTATGGTGGAGGATGGGTAATCCTGTGGGAAAACCCTGGAACCTTATAGAACTGCCTGACATCACAACCTGAGCGGAAACAAACCCCGACATTTATGTCGCATTATTCCATGCAGTTTGCCTTGATTATAAAAACTTTTTGAGACCTTTTTGCTCATCTTTACCTCGGCCTTTAAGAACCAGTGACACTTTTAAGGAGACGGTTTCCTCAGAGGCCGGTCTCACCACAAACGGGAAACGACTGAAGGGTTTAATACAGGAAGTGGGTTTTTTGTTGTTGTTTTTTTCTTTTGACATTTGGTCCAGGAAAAAAAAGGGAATTTGTGGGCGTGGTTGGCAGCCAGCTGCACAGGCAGATTGAGATGAGTGCAGCGTTACTCCAGACAGATCAGCTGATAAGCCGCTGCCACACAATCGCTCAGCCTCCCAACACATACACACACAAACGCACACAAACACACGCAAATAAATGCGCACAAAATACACACGACTCGCTGCCCTGAACATGCTCACGGAGTCTGATTGCAGATTACCGTGTGGCTCTGCAGAGGGCCTGCCGGGGCCTGCCCTCCCCGTGTCGGCGCTCTTGTAAACTGTTGAGTGTTTTATTTGTCAGCCTGCAGGAGAAATTACTGGGTTGAAGTGGGAAACAGCAAACGGGAGGGAAAACGGACCGACTTGGCCCAGAGCAGAGCCTTTGCTCTTCCTTCTTCCTATCATTGGTTTAATTTTATTTACAGATGTGGAGCTTCATCTACCGGGTCCACGCTTTTACATTCGACTCGTTTGAAAGGGAAGCTTTTGTTTGAGAGAATTAAAACTTTTAACTGTGGGATCAAAGTTGTTTCTTTATATTTAGCTTCCAGTGATTCAGACTTTCTTTTCTTTGGACTTTGGCTGCTTGTTTGCTCATTTCTTGACTGTTTTCAGAGAAACGTTTGTGTTTTCCTTCAACACAGCAGAGCTGGGAATTTCTTTTTTTAAATGAATTTCCAGAAACTTTTGTTAGTACCGTTCGTCCATCAATCTGTTTCATTAGGGGCATTTATTGTGTCTTTTATAATTTATCATGATGAATTTATCAGGCTAAGAATTTTTGATTGATTGTCACAATAACTTCCAGTTGATGCTGTTTAACTTGATCGTATTGTTGGTTTAGTTTAGGTTTCTATTGAGAGTATCAATAAGTTTGAAATTCGATTAGATTCAGTTGCTGTGTGTAGTTTAAATCAACAGTAGAGGTAAACTAGAAACAGGACTGACTTTTATTTTACTTCTTTCAGGCAAATCTAATTTTAGATACTCTAAATCAGCAGCAAATAATCTTTTAAATCTGGACTATCTTTATCTTGCTGTACAACGCAGGAGCAACGTGTGAGCTTTAACGAGTCCGTTTGTCTGTTGGGTTTTAGTGCTCAAAGCCTAAAGTGAGCATCCCTCTCTCGGCGATCGTGGAGGTGAGGACCACCATGCCGCTGGAGATGCCCGACAAGGACAACACTTTTGTTCTGAAGGTACGCTCTGCCCAAGCTCCACCCTTACGCCAACCGAGTCGCTTAAAATGCCCCCAAAACGGAGAAAAACACAGCAGCACAGAGGTGACTTTAAGCTGGAGAACTTGGAGAAACAGGCAGAGCTGCGACATGATGCAGTGAGCGAAGCTCAGTGTGTGACTGATGTTTTTGGCTGCTTTCACAGGTGGAGAATGGGGGCGAGTACATCCTGGAAACCATCGACTCTCTGCAGAAAAACTCCTGGGTTGCTGATATCCAGGACTGCATAGACCCCGGGTAAACCGGCAGATAAATATTTGTTGTTGACTGAAGACGGAGGGAGGAAGTGAGAGGAGGGGAGGCGAGGGAAACACACATAGTCATTAATCATCCAATTAGTGGACTTTTTGACAGGCTGTTTGAGCAACAAACATGGGCAGGCTTGTGTCGCTCAGTTTTTCGGATTAGTTGGAGGTTTGTCGGCACCGGTCCCTATATAAACAGAAAGATTATTTGTTTTGGTGTTTGCAGGAAGTGGCGGTGCGTAGGACCATGTTAGGATGCGGCTAATGTTTGTTTACTCGTGTGTGTGTGTGTGTGTGTATACGCTCTTGCGGTTGCTCTGACCTGCCTCCTTGTGTATAGAGACAGCGGCGATGACATCGAGCTGGCGTCATGTCCTCACGGTCAGGCTTCCAAAGACTGCTCCATGGTGGCCTCTTGCAGCTGCGAGCTGCTTTCCGAGGGTGAGCCGAGACTTCACTCCACGCTGCACGTCGAATGGTGTTTACATGCTTTGATGCTGGAAAAAAAAAAGGTCCTGATTTATATCTATGTTAAAAAAAAAACACTTTTTAGGTGTGTATCGTGCTCCAGAGAGGTCCTGTCCCACAGCAGCAGACCATTACAGCGCCCCCTCAGTTCGATGCAGGGAGCCTCCCTTCACTCAGCACCCTTCACACATGCCTTTAGAGCGCTTCCTGCAGTCCCCAGAAGCCCAGAGCTCCAACGCTTCTGCAGGTAGCAAAACGCCGCTTTGCTTTTTCTCTCAGAAATATGGATGTTACTTTATGAAAATCTGTCACATTTCAACCGCAAACTTTATGTATTTTACTGGGATCTTATGTGACTGACTAGGTTAATTATTCCACTTGATTCTCATCTCCAGCTGTTTGGGCTTTCTCCCATTGAAATGGATTCCTGCGGTGACTTTCTATATACCAGGGCAGTCAGCAAACAGATGAAGATGTGAATGATTGATGTTGATTTTTCTTTTTGTATTGTAGTCTGCCTGTAGTTTTAGCAATGGCAGCGGAGGAAGTGAAAGAAGCCGTTCAGTTTGTCCAAAATATCAAAACATTAACCATCTTGTTCAGCTCAGTACTTCTTTCTTCGCAGCAAGAGGCGGTTTGTTGACAGTACAGTTTCTTAAGCTTTATAGCGTTAGCCGAACGTTATCAATTGGGTAAAATTTAAAACCCAAACTGAGTTCTTGCCTCCAGGAAGCAATCATTTTGTTAAGGTTCTAGTTATGTCCTTCTCTTTCCGTTTTTCAGTCAGTGGATTAAACAATTCTTTGTCGGACGTTCAAAGATTGTTATAATGTCTTATAGTCTAACTTTGCCTAAAATATCTCTCCAAAGTTTGGTGGGCCGCCCTTTGGACACACCTGAACTATCTGCTCACTTACTATGTAAAAAAAACTATAAAATACAATTAACTTGTGGTTGTGACGTAACGAAAACGTAAAGTTTAAGTGTTGGAACACTTTTTTCAAGAAACCATACAAAAAAAACAACAAAAAAAACTAACTTGTGACATTGTTCAGGTGGTGGCGAAGGAACGAAGGAGCCAGAGGGCGATGCCAGTTTGGCAGGCTACCCCTGGTTCCACGGTACTCTGTCTCGTGTTCGAGCGGCTCAGCTGGTGCTTGCGGGCGGGGCCAGGAGCCACGGGCTCTTCGTGATTCGTCAGAGCGAGACACGGCCGGGCGAGTACGTCCTCACCTTCAACTTCCAGGGCAAAGCCAAGGTGAGACCTCATGAGGACTGAGCACCTTAAAATGGTGGATTCTGTCCACCATTTTAAAAAATATATGTGCATTTCTTTTGTACATTTGAGTTGGGATGTAGGTCTTACATTTCATTCATAATGTTCTTAAAAAGTCTCAAATTTCAGTTGGTGAAACCTGAAAGCCTGTCCTAAAACTAGCAAAACCCTAATAGTTTAATTGGGATAATTGACATTATGGGTCCAGAATAATAGATTTAACCCAATACTCTTAATACCAGATGTAGCTAGCTGTCTCTGCAGCTGACAGCTAGCTAAGCTGTCATTTCCTAGGAAATTCTCTGTAACGTCAGAGCTCTTTGCTCTCTTATGCAACGTGATCCCAGACCATCACGTCCTGCCAGTCGACTGTGTTGAGGAAGTGTCAGCTGCCATCATTTCCCCTGGTGTCAGCCTCGGGATGCTGTCACTCTTCTCCCACAACAAGACGCTTCTTAAGATAATGCCCTCTGTCCGGGTTTCTGTGTGTCAGCTGGCCCATTTTCTTTTTTTTCCTTTTGACTGATTTTAAAATCTTTTCTTTACTTTGGCAACGTTCTCCTTTCATTCTCTCTCTCTGTCTCTCTCTCCGCCCCGCAGCATTTACGTTTGTCCGTTAACGAGAACGGCCAGTGCCACGTCCACCACTTGTGGTTCCACACTGTAACGGACATGCTGAGACACTTCCACGCCCACCCGATCCCCCTGGAGTCCGGCGGATCGGCTGACATCACGTTACGCTCCTATGTGCAGGTTCAGCGAAGCTCCGCTGCAGGTATGTCGACACACAGACTTGAACAGGCCACATGTAACACGTAGAGGATATCACAGAAGTCATTTTGTGTACTTACAACCACATACTTGGGGAAATAATTTATTGCGTTCAACTTTTTGTACAAAATATAACCTACATAGGGTATTTATTAGTATTGTAATTTTACAGGATTTTATTTTTAGTGAAAATTTCTAAAAAAGGTATCCATCTGCATCAACCATCTGGGCCAAACCACCCCGGTAAAGATCAAAGCATTTTTTTTTTTAGAATGACCTAGTCAAAGTCCCGACTTGATTTCAAAAGTTTGAAAATGGATGTTTATAGACTCTATATATCCAATCGGACTGAGTTGTTAGTTATTTTTGCACAGAAGAATTGGTGAAAACTTTCACCTCTAGATTTGCAAAGCTGCTGGAGATGAACCTAAAAGATTTGTGTTTCTTTTTTTTTATTATTCTAAAAACATGTACCGTTTTTCCTACACTTCATATTTACGCTCTGCTTTGCATAAAATCCAAGTAAAGCTCACTGAAGCTTGTTCTCGTGGAGCTTTTGCATATAATCATGTCTGTCGGTCGTCCTCAACAGCCACTGACTGTTTGAACCTTAATGTGATTTCAAATGACGTATATCAGCTAAAATCTCTTTAACCACCTAAATGTAATTCAGGAGGAACTTGCAGGTGGCTGCTGGTGTTGACGGATGGCAGATTTTGACCTTCCCTCATCCTATCAACCTCCTTGGATAAATGCCCCCCCACCCCGGTGCAGCAGAGTAAGGGGAGGGCAATTATACAGCAGAAGTTTTGCATGCAGGCCTGGACTCTGACTCCACCCCGACGGTCACAAAGAGGCCCTCTGTTTTTCCAAACGTGGGACCTACACACACTCATCCACTCTCTCGCATGCAAATAAAGCGAGGGTTTCATTCGAGGTGTAAAAGGCCGTATTGATGCGCTGCTCAGGCATGTCTTTGGCCTCAGTGTTGTTGGTGTTCTTGCCCACCGAGAGAAAGGATAATAAAGGAGGCCCACACTGCCTGTGTTTACATGCCGATTCATGAAGGAGCCTTTTACTCCCGACTTTCCAGGAGGACCAGTGAACAGCGATCAGAGTTGTTGTTTCGTTTCTATGTACGTCTCCACTTTTTAACACGCTTTCTTTGTTCTGCCGCAGATGCGACCGTGCCTCCGGTTTTCACTCCTCCTCGGGATGCGTCCTGCAGAGCTGATCCGGTCCAGCCAGCCCTTCACCCGCCCGGAACCGCAGCTCCTGCGGGGCCTTCGTCCGACGGGCCCCTGTCCTCCAGCACCTCGTCCTCGCCCACTGCCCTGCCCTCCCTCTCCCGGAGCGACCCCGGTATGGGGCTGGGCGGCGGCGGCCTGCAGAGCCGGAGCAACAGCTCCGAGCGCCTGTTGGAGGCGTCGAGCGGAGCGTCCGAGGATTACCACGACGCCGACGGGACCCGCAGGGCCCGCGCCGTGGAGAACCAGTACTCCTTCTACTAAGCAACCCTCCTAAAAAAAAATGAAAGAAAAACAGCGTTTGGCTTGTTTACATCCTGAAAACACGAGGTGTCAAGGACAACTCCGCACATTTAAAGAAACAACAACAACGAAACCCTGATCCAAATCACTCCTCATTTCCTCTGTTTATTTTTGTTCCAGGGAAATTTCCTGGGAAGTAAATGATGCCAAACGGCGTGTCCGTGCTAACAAATTCCCCTTTTTGCTTGATATCAAGGACGTGGGTAACAGACACCGAACAAAAGGTTAAGATGCACAAAAATAAATAAATAAATAAATAAATAAATAAATAAATAAATAAATAAATAAATAGTAAAACTTAAAGGTGTGGATGATTGCAGGCAGATGGAGTCATATGGTTTTGATTCACTTCCTCTGTCCGTTTCCTGCTCGGCCTTACCCACAGTTCCCCAGGAGCGGAGCCGGTGTGGCCGCCCTGCCAGAGGACTGAGAGTCTGAAATGACCCTGCAGAAACCCCCCGCCTCCCTCGCTCAGCTCCTCGGAGCATCCTGTTAATGTTTGTAAAGCTGCTTTGAATCTGTCCCGGATATCCTCGCTGTCCCCCGAGGATTTTCTCTTCAGAGTCCGGCTCCGGGTCTTTACACTAACACTGGGACAGCTAGCGCATGTGTTTGTGTTAGCTGAGAGGTATTTTTCATAAACCTGAACAGCCTGAGGGGGTCTCGGTGCCCGACGGTTAGCCTGAACTCAGAACAGACTGAAGCAGACGAGGATGAGGAGGAGTCGATTAACATCCCCGAGTCTAAAATCTAAAATGTGAGTTTAATCTCTGGTTAAAATCTGCAGTGCCTTGCAAGCGTACTCATAGCTCTGGATCTTTCCCACGTTTGGTCACAGGGATTTTATGTGTTAGATCAACACAAAAGTAAAGTAAATTGTGAGATGAAAGGAAAATGATACGTCTTTGTTTTAATTTTTATAAATGAAAAATTTTAAAAATGTGTTTCACATTCAAATTCTGCCCCCTTTTACTCTGATAAACCTAAAAAAAAGTCCACTGTAACCAATAGCCCTCAGTCAACCTGCATAAAACTTAATCTCAGTATAAATCCAGCTGTTGTGCTGAGGCTTTGTACGTTAGTGAACAAGAAGACCAAGAAACGCATAAAGCTTGGAACTTTAAATCAAGATTAGGCTATTAAACGGTGTTGCAAGCTTTGTACTGCACCACGATCCATGTGGTAGAAAGAAACAACGAAAGAGAGCAAAATTATACTTTTTGCCCAACATTATACATGATGACGCTGAACACATCATCCCCATGAGAAAACACAGTGGTAGCGGTATGATGCTGTGGGACATGAAAACCTTTTTATAGGCTGCAGAAGACTTTAAACTGGGGCAGAGGTTCACTTTCTGGGTTACAACGGAAGAGTGTGCTGTCCACCAAATCTGACTGCAAAGAAGAACGGACAAAAAAAAGAAAAAGATCTAGATGTGCCTGACTTGGGGGAGCTGAGCACAAGTACAAGCCTCACTTTACAGATTTGTGTTTGTAAGAGATTTTCAAAAACGTTCATGACTTTCAATCGTGCACAACTCGGTGTTGATCTGTCACGTAAAACCCCAATTAAAATATACTAAAGTTTGTATTTTAGAGTGACAAGTTGTGGGAAAAGTTAGAGGGATATGGCTATTTTTGCAAGACCGGGTGTTTAAAAATGCCATCTGTAAAGGTTTGTGAAAGTTTCAGTGAGGTCGCTACATCCAGACACAAGGTCAGGTGTTTGTTTTGCTAAAAAGTTTGAGATAGTTTCTATGAACCGGACAGGACGGCTCCCGTGTCAGTGGGTTGTGACTATGAATGTGTGGTTGTGTATTAGAGTCCAGATATTTTTTAATGGTGTGTGTGTGTGTGTGTGTGTGTGCGTGTGTGTGCTGCAGTGGTGTTTCTGAAACATGCTTTTCCGGGTTCCTCCATCCTGGTGGTGGTTCCATATTCACACGCATCATCATCAATGGTAACCTATAGTTTAGATACTCTGTTAACATAAGATTACTTTGAAATATCGCCTTGAGGATAATATGATTAAACCAAACCCAGATTTATTTGGGGGGACTTGCAACATGTTTTTGTGTGTGTGTGCGCGCGTGTGTGTTTATGTGAAAGGCAGCGCTGGGGGCTGTTGTGTGTGCTCTGCAGGTAAGCTTGTGGCTATTGACTAGGACAAAGTGGTCAAGGTGGCCATGCTTGAAAAGAAAGATGGTGTTTTTGCCGTTTTATTTGAACTGAAGTTTTATGCAAATTATTTCAAGGAAAACTTGATTTACGTTCAAATTACGTCACATTCAGTTTGAAAAACAACCTCATTTGGGTTATTTTGCGAATCCAATATGGACGATAAAATTAACAAAGATTATCGCGTCGGGACAGGCAGTAGCGACGTCCAGAAACAAATTCTTTTTTTTTTTGTTCAGTTTGCCAGAAAGATTATTGGCAAAGGTTTCATGTGAAAACTGTTCTCTTAAAGTTAGCGACAGGGGAAAAAAAAAACAAAAACAAAAACTGCTACTTTCATTGGAAAGACAGCTAAGCGTGTCTTATCGAGTATGGCCACCGAGCCTGGAGGGTGATTTCGGGTGAATGAAGCAGATCATGTGCCAATACGAATCCTATTTTTTGAAAGCCAGTTATTCCTTCACCCATGTAAATGACATGTTTCCTATCGAGTCTTATTTATGTACGACCGGTTCTTCTTTATGAAACAGTGGAGAGAAAAAACCCCACCCCGACCCGTCCCACATATCAGCGACCGCACTTCTTTCTGTTCTACGTAACTCTCCCACAGCTGAACTTTCTGTTGTCTGACTGGGTTTTGAAGAGTCTGTGCAATTTTGTACAAAGTGATGTAATTGACATACTACTTTATATTTCTGTGAATAAAACGTGACTATTGGACGTGTTGTGCGGTCATTCAGACGTTTCTCAGCAGGGTGCTTCAGTGGTTAAAAGAGGAAATTCACGAGAGTCCAGGTATTTTCACATTCACAGTTTGGATATTTGCTCTTAAGGACAAAGTGATGGGTTAATCAGAGTGAATTTGTCCAAACCCTTTAGATGTTTTCATGTCCTTCCACACAGTTCAAACTCTTCTTTTTTTTTTTAAGATGGAGATTATTTCTTTATATCCAGATGCCCCCTAGAGGGCAGATTTAAAACCATAAATGCATTGTTTTAGAGACGGAATTTGGAAATCAGCATTTGTTGAGTGGAAAGTTTTGAAGATTATTTAATTTGAAGATTTTGTCTAGTTCAAAAAACTGCATAAAGCTCATGTTAGAGTATATTCGTATTCATTTCTTTTAAAGTCATATTCCTAACCAATGGTATAGTTAAATTTGCAAAAAAAGAAAAAAAGTATCCACTTTTTTATTCTACAATATTTACGAAATTAGGACTATTTAGGAATATTTACGACTACAAATGGAAAATCAGCCAGTGAGTCTATTGTGAGGTTTAATGTTCCTCTGAATGAAAACATTCAAACACAAAAATAACTCTCCTTAAAATATTTGTAGATTTTAATACGTTGATAATCATACAGAGGCATCATTTCTGTACAGTACGTAGATGTATTTACATTTACACACCTAAGGAAACAAGCAGGTGTTTACATTTGCTCTTTACATGTAATATGTATTTATTTTCCTATTACATATTCAGTGTAAAGGGGAATAAAAGCTTATGAATCATTCACCATTAAAAAGAGCAAACATCTTTCCATCTTTAGGCCTCATTTGGAGAGAAAACAATCACTTTAAGGTGCCAAAAGCTGCCTGGCTTCAGAACTGAGAATGCAAATAAAAAGTAAACAATATTGTTTGCAAAGTACCTGTTTCTGTCTGAAACAATGATGAGGGAGAGCTTTAGGTGAAGAAACTTTGACCATGTTATCCTAAGACCACCATTTATAAAGTTCAATCACAGAAAGCTGCTCAACGTGACGAGCATAATCAGCACGGTGAGGGTTATTACTATGGTCTCTGAATAAATATTAAGTAACTTAACAGCACACATTCTTCAGAACTACTTTTTGTCCCCCACTTTTTAATTTGTTGCTTCTTTAAAGAAAAGGAGCAACAAATTATTACAGGAGAATAATAATTTAGTGCTTCTGCTGGTTGAAATTCTACAATTAAAGCTGTATTTTTTGTTGTTTGCTTTGGCCATTAATAAGACAGATTCTCTGGTGTTTTCACATTTTATCTATAGAAAAGAAAATGATTTCAAAATGCAAGCAGCTTAAAGCTGAAATGAGCTGAAACACCTCCTCATTCATATGCAGTCAGCCTTTTGATTTCAAGGATTCAACCATTTTGCATCAATGCCGACTTGAAAGATGAACCATCGATTTTATGCCTGCATGTTTCCTTCAGAAACCGCAACGATCCAGTTTGAAAATTCTTGGAGTTTCAACTCCTGCTGCAAACTGTTCCAACACCTGAGCAGCCTGAGCCTCCGCCTCCATCCGAGAAATATCAGCCACTGTCTGCTGCGTCAAGAGCTGAGCAGACTGATTAAGATCATCACTGACATGGTCGCCAGCATCAACGCAGTGAGCTCCCGCATCTTCTCCTCATGGTACTCCTTCAGCCTCTTCTTCTGCTCTTCCTCCATCTGCTTCCTCTTGACTCTTAGGTCCCTCTCCCTCTGAAGCTGCTCTCCGTAGTGAGCCTTAAAAAAGGCGTCAAAATCAAACATGGGCCCACCACCGGTTTGGGAGAACGGCCTGGCTCTTTGATGACGATATTGCTGCTGCTGGGAGCTTGTGGCTCGGCTCGATACATCTTTGGAGGATGGCTTCACTGGGCTCTGCAGGTCAGACTGGCTCAGGATCCCTCGGTCATACTTCTTCCTCAGACTGATGTTGCCCAGCACGGCGTAAGCCTCGCTGATCTTAGCGAAGTGCTGCGTGGCTTCTTCGCTGCCCAGGTTCTTGTCAGGGTGGTAGATGAAGGACTGCTTGTAGTAGGCCGTCTTGATCTGTGACTGTGTAGCACTGGGGGACACTTTGAGGATGTCGTAATAGGCGGTTTTACTCTTGTGCAGCAGAGGAGCCTCCTCTGACCACCTGCTGTAACTTCTAGCTGCTGTAGAGGCTTTAAAGGCACCAGGGTGAAGCTTCGGGTGTTTCAGTGAAGCTCCACTCCCTGATCTGTCATCTGTGAGGATGAGAAGAACAGTGCAAAAGGTTCTGAGCTGCTGTGGGGACCACCAGGTGTGGGGGTGGATTGAAACAGCCCTACTGGTCCAGATGGGCTTCACGCATGAGTACAGCTTCTCATAACGGCGTCCAGTCGGGATCAGGTTTGTTTTGGTGATTGTTTGGCTCTTTCTGGCGTCCGGAAGCCACAATAAACGAGCTAAATGTGTGTTAAAAGAAGCGCAGCCAAGAAAAGTCATTTTTTTCTCATGAGTTTCAGTTTGTCTTACTCTGTTAAGTTTCTCAGAACTGCGCTGAAGTGCTCTTCCTTTTAATAGCTGGACACATTCTTCGGTAAAGTGTGCCTGGGTGCAGGTGCCGTTTATCGGGAGAAGTCCGTTAGGTTTTATGGGACGCAGCGGAAGAGCCTGGCCGGGACCTATTGTCACCAGACGGTAGGCTCCGGTCCCGAGCCTCTGGCTGACCTCTGCCATTTTACCAACAACAAGCCGGTGAACGAAGACGGACAGTTTCCGGGTGTTACAAGGCAACAAACCAATCAGGTGCAATGTTTACAGGAAGTATTTTAACTCATCTACCAATCAAATTCACAACAAAGATGTTCGCGCATGCTGCATTAGAGGTAACTGGGACATTTCGTCTGTACAGGAGAAAAGGTCTCTTGTACAGTGAATATTAATATTACAATATTAACAATGAATATTTCTTAACTTAGCTAAATGTCCCCACCCAGAATTAGGTCTTTACTTCAGCATTTCTAAAGATACTTAATTGGACTAGTTAAACAAAATCTCTTAACCTAAATATAATGAAATGTATTTAGCATTTTAGCAGATTAAGATCACGTTTTGTTCATTTTTCTCTCTACTCGGGTTTGATTCAGTTTAAATACTGTCTATTTATGGCTTTATTAAAAAAGAAATTAGATTTCTGATTTGTTCTCATACTTTACACATTCTACATGGAAACTCGAAAGTTGTGTAATTTGAAATGTGATTGTCAAAATTCCGCGGTGAAGCGAATGCATAAAAGTTTATTCATCAGATTAAACTGAAAGGTCATTGATATTTTTTATATTTTGAAAATGTAAAATTAATATTTTACAATAACTGCCAATATGGGAGTTTTTTTGTCAAGAAAGCTGAAATTACCTGAATCATGCAGAACAACCTTTCTGCCGTACTGTAAGAGAAAGAAAACAACTCTGATTTTTTTTTTTTTGGAAAAAGTATAAAGAATGATTTGTTTTTCTCCACTATGTCTCTAAATTGATAATAATAATAATAATAATAATAATAATAATAATAATAATAATAATAATAATTATTATTATTATTATTATTATTATTTACCCTTATAATATCCTTTAAATATCTACAAACAACTGGTGTTTTGATTATGAATACAATGAAAAGGTGTAGTTATTTTGTTGATGTTTTTCTTATCCTGTTTGTAACCTGAGAACCAGACAAGAGCACAGTATGAATTGAATTGAATGAACAGCAGGTGGCGATAAAGCGCCTCTTCCCAATAGAGTAACATAATTTAAATCAGCGAACAAGAACTGTGGCGTTTCACATGTGGATAGCCTGCTGCGGACACAACATTTAGCTTGATTTTTAAACAACAGATAAAGAAATAAAGCCAGAAGGACCATGGCTTCCAGCTGCCGGAGACCTGAACACACAGCTCCGCCGGACGTGGTTAGTTTGACGGCTTTGTTTACCGTAGCTGCTGTATGTTTGTGTGTTTGTGGAAGTGTGTGTGCTTGTGGAAGCTGTGTGTTTGTGGAAGTGCAGAAGTAGTTCCATTAAGTGTTTGGAGTGTTTCCTTAATTGAAACATAACATATTTAAAGATGTATATTCATACTCATTTAAACCTTTCACGTGTTAGTAGTTTTGTAGCTTTGTCTTATTTAGATCAAATAAATCAGCAGCGACCTACAGACATGATCAACTGAGTTGAGTTGTGTGATCTAATCTCATCTCTGCAGTTCTACAATGAAGATGAAGCAAAGAAATACTCACAGAAGTAAGTCTGGATCCTTTATTCTCTATCATATGTGTACAGTTTTGGGCTTTTATGAAAATGCCTCAATTTAAACTCTTTGAGCTCCTGTTCAGTAATGTTTCTAATTAATCTATTGCTCTGTTCTTGTTTTGTCCTATGTTTCGGTTTATGTTTTATTTATTTTTGCTGTGTTTGCCCAGATCATTGTTCACTTTTCATATGCTTGTTAAGATGGGTGCATTGATTCATTTTCAATACGCTCCTGTGATTTGCATTTATTGCTGATTTTACAAACTATTGATTTTAATTTTTTTCCAGTGAATTTGTATTTTTGACTTAAAATTATCCTGGTTTTGAAAATTAGAGACACTTTGAGGTTCATGTTTCTGATAAAGTTAATCAATATTATTCTCTTATCTACAAAGAATAATTGCTCAGACTTTATTACTGGAGTTTTATTGGTGCCAAAAATATGTAGTATGTATGTAGTAAATATGTAGATCAAATGACTACTTGTCTGTTTTTTGCTGCATTTTATTTATTAATTAGAGCTAGATTTTGAATGGTGCTGTTAATAGGAGATTGTTTTCTTGCGCACATTTGTTTCTCTCCACGAAGTCTGACTGTACTTCCTGATCGACAGTTCTCGGATGATTGAGATCCAGTCTCAGATGTCGGAGAGAGCGGTGGAGCTGCTAAGCTTGCCAGAGGGACAGGCCTGCTTCCTGTTAGACGTTGGGTAAGTCAGTTACACCGGCTGTTTACATGAAGCAAAACCTTTAGTAAAATAATAATTCGTATGTGGAAAAGTTGGATTCTACATTTAGGTGATAATTATTTCTCGTGTTCCTGCATTCATAGCCATCTCTGTTCTCTAACAATGTTAATGTTGCATACAAAGCTTATAAACGTCAGTGCATTTACATCAACTGTGTATTTGTAATGTATAAAATGTTAATCTGAGAGCTACTTGGAGCCGGAGCAGAGAAACGTGAGGCACTAAGTTCTGTTCGGCCTCCCAGGTGTGGATCTGGTCTCAGTGGAGATTACCTCACAGAGGAGGGACACTACTGGGTCGGAGTTGACATCAGCACTGCCATGCTCGGTTAGTTTCACACGCTTTTTAAATTGAAGCACAATTCATTAAGCACGTTGTTTTTTTTCACGTTAAAATAAAAGAAAATGTGGGAAGTAACCTTGAGCTTTTGTTTGTATGGTATTAGTACAATGATTAATAATGTTGAGGTATTGAATCGTGTGTTGACTTCGAAATATTTGATAAAAGAACCAGACTTGGTTTTTATGAGGAAAAACAGGAATGACCTGCAGCAGTTTAGGACTGCAGGCGTGATTTTTATATTCTTTTTTTGTTTTTAATAAAAACAAGCACACTTCATGTTCTGTAGGTTGAAGGTAACTATTAGACGATGCCAAAACATAAAGTTCCTCGTTAGCTTTCCATGCTACCAGCTGAGAGATTTTTGGTTGCTTTTATACCAATATGTGGATTGTCAGTTGTTGATGTGGATTCGTGTCTCATCATCAAGCTGTGAATTTTTCCCTTGATGCTTCCAGATGTTGCTCTGGACAGAGAGGTGGAGGGAGACCTCCTGCTGGGGGACATGGGCCAGGGGATGCCTTTTCGGCCGGGCACGTTCGACGGCTGCATCAGGTAAACGACACGGCGGCTTATCCGACACATTTTAACGCTTTTAACTGAGTCCTGAATTGTTTTAACGATTAAAACTTGTAACTGTTTTACTCTGGTCAGCATCTCTGCGCTGCAGTGGCTCTGTAATGCCGACAAACGGTCGCACAGTCCACCAAAGAGACTCTACACTTTCTTCAGTACCCTCTATTCGTCTTTGGTAAAGTTTTGTCGTTGTCAACCTGAACATGAATACATCAGACTCCTGCGTTTACAGAAAGTAAATTTGGTGTTTTTGTTCTTTTAGGCCAGAGGATCTCGGGCAGTTTTTCAGCTTTATCCTGAAAACTCAGAGCAGGTAGAAAATCTAAGATGCTCTTATTTGGAGTCTGAAATGATGTTCTTGTGCATTTGGTCGTCATATTTAATTTTATCTTTTTTTTTTTCTTTAAAGCTTGAGCTCATTACCTCTCAGGCCATGAGGGCGGGTTTCAGTGGAGGCATGGTGGTCGATTACCCAAACAGCAGCAAAGCTAAAAAGTCAGAAATCTTCATCCACCTTCATATGTATCATATAATGTTCATCCACCTGCTAATCATCTGAAATTATTAGCAGTAGCAGAAAGTCATAGGAGTCATACTGATTTAACTCGTATAATTAAAACACATCGCTTCTTACTTACCTCCAGGTTCTTCCTGTGTCTGTTTGCCGGTGGGACGGGAGTTCTTCCCAAAGTAAGAAACATATATTTTTATTTATTTTTGACTTACTTCCTGTTTTTGTAACTTCTATCTTTTTTTTATTTTATTTTTTTTATTAAATTCTAATTATTTCAGGGTTTGGGGTCAGAAACGTCAGACAGGACTGTTGCGAACCAGGTTCAGTATTCAGGACAAAGGTAAATGCGTTCTAAGAAAAGCAGTCATTTTTGCACACATTGTTTCATTTAGAATATTGATATCATAGTAATATTTGTGTTTTTTTGTGTGTAGCAGCTTATTTCAGTCACTATTTTGTTCTACTTTATTGCAAAATTGAAGCAGCTTCAATACAGTTTTTCTTCTATTGATGCTTGAAGCCTCCAGTTAGAATACTTGAGCGAATTTATTTTAAAATAATCTTCACCTTTTTTATTCATTTTAAGGATTTTGCCTTCAATCTCAAACCTGCTTGCCTTATTCTTATTCTTAGACGCAAGGCGATTAAAGCAAGCAGTTACCTGACTCTGCGAATGCGATTAGTCACTTTTATTTTGGAGGACTCTGACAGCAAGTTATGATTAAGTTGTAAAGCAGGTCTCGGCGTCAATCAGTGCAGGTTGAGTCATACTTGTGTTGATGAAGCCAAAAGACCGACAGGAGCTCAGAGGGCCGTTGTCCTGCCTGACCTCAAACTCCGTCAGGTGGCTTTTCCTCCCTTTCACATTCGGATGTTTAAGCTCTTCTCAATCAGACGCTTGGGTGCGAGTGTTCCCGGCTAAAGAGACGGTTTGAATACTTTAATATGCTCTTCTTTGTCTTTGCGAAGATGTCGGTTTAGTAACATGAAAGGGAAATCGGCGAAGAAGGGGCGAGACTGGATAATGGAGAAAAAGGAGAGACGAAGACGACAAGGAAAGTATGTGTGAAACTGTTCTAAAATAAAATGGATTTTTTTTTTTTGTTCCAGCTCTAACATTTTAAACACACTTCAGTCTGGTTTGAAACCTGTCTCTGATTGGCTGACGCCCCTTCTCCCTCTTGACTGCCGTTTCCTGCAGGGGCGTTCGACCCGACACGAAGTACACCGGACGTCAGCGGAGACCTCACTTCTAGCTGTGACTCATGCAGCTGCTCCATCATTAGCGCCATCTCTCTCTCACACACATGCTCACACACACACACACATGCTCACTCACGCAGTGTCCCCTGGGGCTGCGGCGTGATTGGACTTTTCAGGTCTCTAATTCAAGTGGACGAAACGCAAGCGATAAATTACAGCAAATCACTTTTTATATTTGGTCAAGTGCTTTGGTGTTTTGTCAGAAGCTGTAAGGAGATGCAGTTTTCAGTTTGAGTTGAAGACCAAATATGAGTTGCTACGAAACAAAAAATATAAAACAGAGGCAATGTTATCCTATTAAAGATACTTTTAAATTAAATTGTCTTCATTTTCTAATTTATGTTCTCAATTTTTCTCATTTTTCTCAAGTAAATTCATTCTGTATGAAATGGATAATGCATGAGTGTATTCTTTGACAAAGAACAAACCATCTTGATATAAAGCACTTCTTATTGAAGTAGACTTGAATCAGCAAAACGGCATTTAGAAAGTCCAATTTTTAAAAAGAAAGTTGTCATTTGGCAAATAGAAATATTTTTGGTTATTCCAGCAAAATAAAACAATAACTTTGGTCACACTTGGAATCAGCGAGGGGGAAAAAAATCTTTTAGATTAAAGCGTGTGGCTTTAATTGTGAGGCAATAGCTAATCGTTACAGGATGTGAAGTGTAGACCAGTAGTGTCCAAACTTTTTTTCACTCACGCAATCATCGAGTTAGATACACTTAAGTGACACAATTTTCAAGATAAAAACGAAAACCCATGAACAAATTTTTATTGTATTTTCCTATTTTATGATTTCGACGTCTATGAAAACGCAAAGTATGCGTTTTCATATACGCATACTTTGAATTGCCTTCTATGTAAATGTTTTTCTAGCCTGTGGCCAAAAGATGTCGCTGTTCCTCACTGGAAACCACCTGGGCGTTATCCTTTAACCTGCTCAATCGATAACCTAAACTAACAAAAATTCCCGTCTCAGTTCACCAAACATGTCGTGTTTGTTGTTGTTCTGTTAACTTATCCCAATTCCTGTTGGAACCAAATTCACTCTCAAAAGACAAGAGTTTATTTTTTGCGGATGGATAAGAAGGGGAGTTTTAGGTGTGTGTATGTGTGTGTGTGTGTGATAGGTAATCGGCGGAAGGCCGTGCCTCACCTTAACACATAAAAGTAGTCCCTGTCTGTAAGGAGAACGGGGTTTCGGAGCCTCTCCCCGCTCGCCCGGCTCGCATCATCCAGTCGGTCTCCGCCCCTCCGCTCCATCATCAGCTCACATCCAGGGGGGGGGAGAAAAAATAGAAAGAAAAAAAAAACGACAGGAGCAGGAGGAACCACGTCGGTGGAAATAAGGAACCATGAAGGACCGCATGCAGGAACTTAGACATGTAAGTTTCTGTTTTATTTTTGTGCTTTTCTGCTTGTTTTCGTTCACTATCAGTCCCTGTCTGCACCTGTTCAGCCGGAGCAGAGGCGGGTTGAGTCGGAGCGCTGCTAGAGCAACAGTTGTGACTCCGAATGATGGAGGCTCACATTTGCTGTTTTATCAGAAAACCAGCGCATATTGGGTCCAAGGGTTGCTGTGAGCGCAGAATCGGATGGAACTCAACTAGTTGTTGCTTTAGTGTTCAAGCGAATTGAGTCATGTTGTTAATTATCTTCGAAATGTATCCTCCTCACTTTGAGTCGGTCGGTTATTTATGCGGTTTAACGGTGAGATTCATCAAAACTAAACTGGTGGTTCATAGAAAAGCTCATCTTTAATGCACGAAATCTCACAATTGATTTATGTTTAGTATTTGGAGATGAAGGCCTTTGTGCAATTATCTTGTAAAAACTGGCATGTAAGACAGAAGGCTGTATTGAATTTTGTGAATTAGTCTGTGTCCCGCTGATTAATGTGGTTGTGAACCAGACACTGGTCCCAGTTCCTGCTGGTGTACACACAGGGCCGGTCTTACGTAATGGCTTTCTAGGGCTACTGTTTTGGGGCCCAAGGTTTTTTTTTTTTTGAGTTCTAAAAGTTTAAACATACAAGTACCTAAACATACATTTAGATATATTTCATGATATTCTGAAGTCTTACCAAGAAGTACAATCTCAAAATAAATATTCTTTAACATTTATTGCTTAAAAAAAAGTGTTTCTTATGGAGCGATGTACTTAAATTTCACAGTACATGTCAGTAACAGCGCAGTTAATTTGCACATTTAAAAACATTGACATAAATTAGTCTATAAATTGTTTTATGCAATAAAGTGGATTTGCACAAGTAATAATCACTGAACACACGGAGCTGTCACAGAAAGCCTGTAAAACAATTAAAATATGTCAGTATATAAAAAACATCCTAACTTACAAGATTATGGTTAGCACCCCTAAACTCCTTAAACATTTGCATAAAACACTTTTTGAACTTCTCATTTACTTTTATGATACTAACAGAAATGTTTAAGAAGGCTTTACAACATACAGTTGGTATCTTTCAAATTAAGTAATTAAATAAGGTCAAACTATTTAAATGAAAAATGGAAACTGTGAAATGGTAATGGCCAACCAACCAGACGTTATGATCATCGGTGAGCAGCAGAGGACAGCTGTTCTGATCGATGTGATTATCTCACATGAAGGAAACATCAGGAGAAAGGAATGTGAGAAACTGGAGAAATACCAAGAACTCAGTCAATGATGTTACACAAATCTAATAGTAAATGGTTAAATTGATAACTGAGGCTTACAGAGTTTTTTTTTCTATTTTCACTAACATGGCCATATTTGTTGTCACATCCGACACTCTAAAATATCTGCTGTCAAACTGATGATTTATACAACAAGGTTCTTATGTCATTTGGTGAAGCAGAGGAATGAGACCTGATTTTGTTTTGACTTTAAACACTTTATTTGCTAATGAGCGTCCTCCACAAGGAAATTTCTTACTGAGGCACTGAATGTGTGTTTGTGCAGAGGCCATTGTTAAATAAGTGCGATTTTTAGTAGAGCTGATTGAAACCGTTTCAATGAATTGGCCTCGAGGGAAGCAACCTAGCCTCGCCAAATGTGCATGTGAGAGTGTTACAAGACAGGCGTGTCTTCTTCTTTTTCTTCCTTTTCATGCCACGCTGCCTTCTCCTCGTCCTCCTCCTTGACGCATGCTGCTGTGTAACCAAGAAAGACAGAGAATTAGTCAAAAACCTGCTTGGCGAGTAAGAAGCTCAGCCAGTATTCAGGCGAACGTCGTGGGGAGTCGACAGCGATGATATGCCAGCTGCTGATCCCGTTTTCTTTCATCTTTTCTGATCGTATCGCTCATGTCTGAGAGATTGCAGCCGAAGCGGCCCGCAGACTGACCTATTTTAGGCAACTCAGACCAAATGGGATTGAAGCAAATTGCAAGTCACACACTGTTATTTCCCAGCAGCACTACATTAATATTGTTTTCCATGCAGAGCTTCAAAGTTGAAGCTCGGGTTGAGTGTCTGTGGGGACAGCACAGCAGAATATTGGTGAATTTATGATTACGTAGCCGTCCAAACCAGAAATAAAACAAGAAAAAAAAATTTCTTAGATTGTCTCTCTGATTAATCTTTCACTGTCAGGCTTTTAATGAGATGCTGAACAATACTTGCGCTCATCTTTATGCTTTGTTTTTCAAAAGTTTTCCCATCTTGTTGTTATCTTTGCATGATGAAAGAAAAACAAGTTTGGCACATTTGAGGTTGGGTATAAAATCATTTTAATAAAAACCAGATTATTAATGTGGCCGTTAGCAGCAGGAGCAGAGGATGTAGCTTTTGCTGCCTGTCATCACTTTGTTTCTTCCCTGTAAATCTCTTCTGTTCTTGATGTTGTTTAAAATGGCTCTGAATGAGATTTGGGAGTCTTCAGAGTCCCTTGTAGAATTACACATGTCCCCATCTTAATAAAGTGGACATACAAGTGATGCTTTTTTTAATGCTCCTTAATAAAGCATCACCACAAAGCTGCAAGGAGAAAGTGATGACAGGATGAGCTTCAAATCCTGAAGTAATCGCCACAACCCAGGCCGCGGCGCCGCAACAAAAACAGTGAAAGTGCAGCTCCCAGTAACATCACGCAACTGAGGTGATGGGAAGTGTAGAACATTTACAACGATGCGACACTTTTCACATTTTCTGCGATCCCTGCAAATCTAATGTCAACATCTACTTACGTTTACATTTACAGACAGGCTGAATCATATTCCTTTCTGCGCTCCTTGAACAAGGGGCAGTGGTGAAAAAGCGTAGCTCAAATAATTTTAAAGTTGGGTGCAGTTATGTTCCTATGACCAGTCAGTGTGTAACTTGAGGATGAAGGCATTTCAAGGTTCGATGGTGTTTGTACGAAACTTTTTAGAAACGACAAACACAACTTCAGTTTTGGAAAAAAGAGGTGCTTGCTTTTCCCAAGCTCTATAAATGGTTGTGAGGCCATCTTCACTTTTCTGGCAAATGTTTTAATCCTAAAATGGTGCACATGTAGTCTCTAAATGTACCTGAGGGATGAGTTTTCATTGTCGTTAGTTTTTGTTTTGGCGCTGTAATGGGCTTGTGATCCTTCCATCATCCTGTCTGGTCTTCAACCCCTGAGACCCTCAACACGACAGACTGGGCCTGGATGGATGTTTTCCCTATTTGCAGAAGCTATAACCATGATCCATGCCAGCAAACAGACTAGCTAATAATGTCTCCAATTATCTCCCATGCAGCTCTGTTGACAGTTGACTAACAAATCCCTGCGAGCAAACTAGAAATAATTGGCTGATTTGGACATTTCCTCTGAGTCTGAACAAAATTAGAGAGTTTGCCAATTAAATTTACTTCCCAGCCCCTAGTAAGCTTCATCAAGACCAACGTTTAGCTGTTGTTTTTATTTGTACATAATTGATTTTGTTGCCTCGGTTCAGGTCCTCCTGAGTCAGCACTCTGTTGCCAAATTGAAAATTTGCACACCTCAATAACTGGAAGTCATTTATGTTTCTAGAAGTGAATTATCTCCATGTTATGTAACATAGACAAACTGAAGTAAATTATCATCTGACAAAAGTGTTCACATCCCTAAATGTTTTATATTTTGTCACTTTATAACAAAAATTCCTCTTGTAGTTTGACCTTATTGAGCTATTGTTTGATATACCAACACAAAGCAGTGTGTAGTTCTGTAGAGTATGGGAAATGACAAATGGCTTTAACATTTTCTTTACAGAATAAAAATCTTCATTTGTATTCAGCCTCCTTGAGTCTTTGAAGAACGACCTTTTGCTCCTGCAGCTCTTTTGGGATAAGTCTCTACTAGCTCTGCCCATCTGGAGACTGAAATTTCTGCCCATTGTTCTCTACAAACTACCTCCAGCTCAGACAGATTGTTATGCAGAGCATCTGTGGAAAGCAGTTTTTAAGTCTTGCTCCAAATTCTAACATGGATTCAGGTCTGGACTTCTAACACATACATATGTCATAATTCACAGGTCTTGTTGTTTTTTTGCCTTTGTGTTGTATTTAGAATATTTTGAAGTTATTTGGTTTTTGTTTGGGCATTTTGTTCTGTTCTTTGCATCTTTGTTTAGATTCCTATTTTAGTGTTACTCTATAGTTTAGCTCCTTCTGTATCTTGTTTAGACCGCTGCATATTCATTTTTATGTCAAGTCATTTTCCCTTTAGCTCCTCTGGTATTCACTTAGATCCACTTTATTCTAGTGCAGTGTTTTTCAATTTTTCAATTTTCAATTTTAATTAATGGCTGATTAACAAGTTTTTTCTGAACTACAATAATCTGAATGGGGTGTGTCAAAGCAGGGAAACATCTAAAACATGCAGGGCAGTGTGGCTTGAGGACCAGGGTTGGGAAACACTATTCTAGTGATTCTACTCACCTGGCTATCAAGCCATTAATCACCTCCCCAGAAGTTACAGACGAGTCAGAGTCTTTCACTTCTCGTCAGATCTTTTCATTTCCTGCCCTGTCAGTTTGCCTGTCTTCTGTACCTGGTTTGTTTCTCTTCATCTTTTTTTGCGAGTTGCTTTAATTAATTTTCCTTTCCAGTGTGACACTCACCGTCTTTCCAGCGTTTTGGTCCATATCCGCCACAACTCATGACAAATACGCCGTGGACAAAACTTTTGCTGTCCTAGTGAAACGTGAACCTTGGTGAACTGTAACCAGCTTCCCTGTCACTGCTGATTTACACGTGAGGATTTGATGGTCAGGGTGATGTGTTGATCTGGTAGATAAAGGCCACAACAAGATAAAGTTTGTATCAAAATAAGAAAAAGTACAAGCGGCGTGAGTAATGCGAGGCACTAAAGCAAAATAAAAGCCTGAGTTTTCCAGATTATGTTACTCATGTGTGTTCTGTGTGTTTGTTGTCGC